TTAATTAGAACATTTTATGGTTCTATTTTTTATAATTTAGACAGCACAGACAAAATAAGTAAATTTTCTGGTTGATTTTTAAATAAAACTTAGCCTATGTTATTTGTGGATAATGTAGCTTTCGAACGGTGAAAGAATATTTAAAATCGATTTGGTAGTTTTTGAGTCTATTCATTACAACCAAACAAACAAAGTTTTCCTCTTTATCATATCTAAATTTCCTAATGTTATATATAGTTTTTTTTGTATGTTTATTTAAATATAACCATTTCTTTTTTCTTCTCTTTTTATATGTACTTTTTTTTATGTCGCAGGGAAACCGGCCTTGGTGGAGCCGGAAGGAATGTGTGAGGCTCGGTCTGGGCGGGTCCGTACTCACTTAAACCACTGCGCGACTGAACGGTCCTGGCAAAGACCGGACTTACCTTCTTATATGTAGGTACCTACACTACATTACAAATATCCTATAATACTGTCATTATAAATGTTTTTGTTACATAATAAAATTTCTAATTAAGAGTTGAACGACAATATATTTAAAAAAAAAATCTTCAAAGAATTTATTTATCAGTCCTGTAAAAGATATAGGCCCTTAACAAAAAAAATTAATAAAAAAATTGGAATACATTTACATCCTTGTTTTCATCAAACATAGAATTGTTAAAATAATGATGTGCCTCGGTTTTATAAACGACATGATATTTTGTTATTATATTTATTATTTACTTGTTTGATTCTTAAGATCGTATAGATTTTTTTTATCAAAGACGTAATTTTTGGAAAAATTGCTTTACCTTGATGTTACAAGCAGTATATAAAGATATGTATGTAACAATTGTTGATACCATAACATGCTTGCACTCAACAATTTACTGTACCAAAACCTAGTCATGATTTTTTCTTAAATAAGGATTTCTCATATGAAAAGTTAATTAATCTTTTGATTTTTGTTATTTTTTAACATATTGTTATAACTACATTTTTTCTTGTAGAACAACGTTTCTGAGATCAGTTAATGTTCAAGGATCATGGGTCGGCTTATGTCAGTCGCGCTCTTAAAGAATTTGTACTTTCAACTCAGTGTACAAACTTGACGATACTAATTCATGTAAATTATTTGTTTCCTTTTAGTTATTTTGTTGATTAATCTCTTTTCATAAAAACTAGCTGCTATCGTACATATGGCATGCTATTAATTTTTATAACGATAAAAACAAAGACCAGCCTTCCAATAAATTGCTAGTCAAGTAAATTGATGGTCAAAGTTGTTCTAAACTTAAGTACATTAACAACAAATTAACAATTAATATAACTAAAACTTACTAACCTTATTATTTTTAACGTATTTTGAATAGGGTATAATTTCATTATTCTTATGTGTTGTATAGATATTTTTTAGTAAAAAAGTTAAATATCACAGTATAATCTCTCAATGCATATACTTAGTTTGGACAGACAGAACGATATTCCTAAAGCTTAAATTTTGTGATTTGTGTCTCGTAAAGGTTTTGTATGCAACAGCTAAATCTTTTAGAATTAATGTCGCTTGTTGCGTTAAAATAAAACATAAGTCGCACACCTGATGAATGATCGATCATGGATACTCGATATAGGCAATTATTTACAGTTCGCATCGAAAAGAGACAGTGAGTGATAGTTTGCAGATTGTTTTTTTGTTTTGGTAATTTTTATGTTTTATTATGAAATTCAAGAGTGTATTGTAATAACATACGATATATAAAAAACATAATCAAATACTGAAGTACTGGTATCTACATGAATTGCATTGGTGTAGATTTTTGTTCTCTTGTCTATCTATCAAACGATTCAAAAGAACAGGATTTGATATGCATTAGCTTTTATATTCGGTTTGTTCTATTTTTTAAATACTCACTTTTTGCTTCTCTTATGAATCACTTTTAACTTTGGCTCTTCAAATTTTATGCCAGTCAAAATTTACTATAAAAATATGAATAAAATCCATATTTTATACAAGTTTAACTATTCTATTTCAATAGTACTCAATTTATTAATTAGTTAATCTATGTACAACAGTGAATAAGTAATTAGAAAAAGGTTAAAGTAAATAATTTATTTTATAACTATAATCAATAAGTCGTCGGTTGTAATGAAATCGTTTTGTGTGATTGTGTTTTGCTACACTTTGGGTCCAAGGGGATGTCATTTAACATTCAAGGTGGGTATTTGAGCTAAAATTTGAATTATTTTTTTGTTTTTACCAGTAAGAAAACTATGTATAGTCTTTTTTAATTCATTTTAATCTTTTATTGTGTATGGCAACCACACTTTATACCTTAAAATGGTAACCATATAGTAAAGTATGTATTTGCGTAATATTAAAAAAAATATTCAATGGCTAACCAGGAGACATATAAATAAATATGAATATACAATAACAATTTCCGAGTAGTAAGTGTATTAGTGATTAATTCAAAATTAATTGTATAAAAGAAAAAAATATACACGTCTGAAAGTAAGGTTTTCTGATGGTTGATCAGATATAAAATAACATGAATATTGAGACCATTAGCATAAAATTGCTTTGAAAATTCTTGTCCTGTAAATGGTAGCTTTAAATAACTACCCTATAAAGTCACTGCAGTCGAATCCAATAGGATTTCTAATTATTGTACGTTATGTACCTATACGTATTGCTACACACTCTATATACAGCAATTAAAAAAGGGCTCTATTCCTTTCCTTTAGAACAGCAAATATATATACAAATAAATTGTGTAAAAAATAATCAAAATATTCCTTACACTATTATACTTTGAACCAAATAGTTCCAAGGCTGGAATGGCCATATTAAATGAAACCATATTAAAAGAAAAATTTAGAGACATTAAAACGATGAAACGATGTATTTTTTCACATATCCCTGTCTCTTCATACAAATAGGGACTTACAGTTACTCCTATTTTTTGTTCAAAACCCATCATTTAATTTTTTTCGCTGCTGTGGTATGTACACATCTGTAAAAGAACTTAGAAACACAAATATTTTTTCGTAACAAAAATACTTCTTCATAATTTGTGATGAATTTGACATCGTACCAATATTGTAAATGTAAAAATTCGTGAGAATGTAGGTATATACATCTAGATGTATGTTTTTTGTTATTACTGTAAAAACTGTTTTTTTTATAAACGTTACATGAATGAATCTAGACATCAAAATAAGACTTTGGTTGTAAGTTTTTCTATAATTCCATAGTTCTGGTGGCATAAGAATTCTACATATTTTGTTTGAAATTACGTGACACAAACAATAGAAGTCACTGCCGGTTCATTGTCATTTGAACTTTTTATGAGCCCTTCGCTGTGAACCTGATTCTAAAATTCACTTTGACCAAACTATAAACGCAAATTGAATAATGTTTCGGATTTCAATTATTCGCTTATAATGCCCCGATTAGACATGTGAATATTGATATTCATTTATTCTGTAATATAAAACGGTAAAGAGTTATTCAATTTTTTTTTAATTATCAAGTTATTCAATAAGTTTTTCAATAATTTACCATGTAAACACCAGAAAGAAGCATATTTTCATTATAATTTGATTACCTTTCAATTGTTTCTAAATTTTAAATTTAAACTTTCTGGTATACATGGTATAACATACATATATGTATATTCGAATTATGTAAAAAAAATAGGTACTTAATTTTTGACCAAATTTCCGTATAAATAAATAAAGTGTGTACACGTTCCAAGTGTTCCAAGTGTGGACGCGTGTGGCGGCGTTCTGATACAACAACACGCCGCCGCGCGCGAGTGTGTGTGTGTGTATACCTAATCTGTAGGTGTTCATACAATGCGTAATTAATTACATAACTTTTGGTTAACTTTACTTAGAAGTTTATTAATATTTATGTTATATTAATTTTTACTTTGCCATATATGATCGTCAAATATCACGTCCTCAAATATCGATAGTAATTCACCAGTCACCCTGTATATAATTTAGTCAAGTTATAAACTACTTCAACTTTCGGACTCCGGAATTGAATGGAAGGTATCTAATAGCGGAGCGCCAGCAAATTTCTGTTGAATCCCGGTGATACGATATCAAATTCGTTGCATATGATTTAACATTGCTATATTTCATAAAGTATTCATTTAAATTGCATCGTGTCAGGAGAAATACCATGACGTGCTTGTATAATTAGCTAACGTATTTAAAATTACTAGAAACGTCCACTGTATCTGTTAAACTCCCATAAAAAAGAAATTAAAACCTTTCTCCAGTACTATTGTATCATTCACTAATGATCACTTTATGTATCACTATACAGCTCGAAAAGCCGTAACATGCTTTTGAATTTTTTTCCAGGAAGCAAATAGACAATTGCTTTAATGGTATTTTAATATCTAGTGAATATTGTTTTTTTCTTTACGTAAAAACAATGTCGGAGTTAGTATTTTTACAACAGTCCTTATATTTTAAATTTATACAAATCTCTTTGAAATTTTTATAATATATTAAGGAACTTCGTTCGGATTTTTTAAAAATAAAATAACAGTAAGACATTTGACAATTTGACTATGCGATATTAATTAAAATGAACAAATATAAAAGGTAAATAAAGGAATGAAATGATAACCTGCTAACTCCAATTCAACAACAATTAAAGTACTTACAGAGTAATATCCTTAACCCGTATCTTCCCAAGTCCTCAAAACTCATCTGATTGAAGCGAAACTTTCAGAATCATTTGTTAGTAGCCTAATTATCGATAATATGCAACAAAAAAAAAAATTTCGATTTCCGGTATTTCAGTTACAGTACCGATCCAAAAATGGAACAGTAGGAGAATATGCCACTGTATTTTATTGTTGGTATTGTGTGCTTTTTAGGAAGATTGCTGTAAATAATGAAAGATATTTATGAATAATCTTATTTATTTTTAGTATATAATTTTAGTATTTTTAGTATTTTATATAACATTTAGTATAACATTTAGTATTACAATTTTATTTCGTATGAAACGCAGGAGAACACTTTTGGTGTAGGGCGACGTTGCATTTGCCACATTTCATTGTCGTGTTTTTATGACATAAACCACAACGGTTTTGTTTATCACTTTTGATAATATGGTGTGCCTTTCCATCTAACCTAATATCAACTGGAACTCGTTTTATGACTGCTAGAGATGATCTTGGAATAGGCTTCTTTACTGAAGAAGAATTTTCAGGAAAAGTCTGAAGATATGTTGTTACAACATGTCTTGTAAATGACAAATAGTCATGCTGATTGTTTTGTGAAGCTGGCGATAATTTATATAACTGAAAAGCATTATTCATACATACATTTATAGGAAACATAAGTAGCTGCCAGTACCACCTCTTCAGGCGTATAGAAATACGATAGCATCCCACATTTTGATCCAAACGGTCGACACCGCCCATATATTTGTTATAGTTGACGATGCAGCGAGGTTGGTCGACGTCTTTCTTCTGCTTGTCACAGTAACGTTTTACCTTAGCTAAAGGCTCCACACCACATTCGGTTGAGGCAACGGTAACAATATTGTTGTCATTGTAACGTACGAGGGTGATGTTCGTCAGAGTATCTGTACACTGGTCAAAAGACCCTCTGCTCATTTTCTTCATATCTTTCGCTTCTTTCAAGGGTGCCTTTTCTACCCTATTTGCCCTAACCGTTCCCGTCGCATCGTGTCCTAATGTTTTTATTTCATCCAACAAGGGTAAAGATGTAAAATAGTTGTCCATATAAAAGCTGTAAGTACCGGGCGGCAATTTGGATATGAGGTCTAAAACAACAGAAGCACCTACACCAAGTTCTGGGTGGGTATTTCCTGTGCTTGCCCCTTGATAAAGCTCTCCATATATCAAATATCCAAGACGAGTACATATAGACCAATTCTTATAACCGAACCGAATGGGTTTACCATGAATATGTTGCTTCGTCCCATGTTTCCCGAAATATGGAATCATGGATTCATCAATGCTTAGATTCCTGTCACCGGGATAATATTTTACCCATCTCTTATTGAGTAGATTCCAGAGAGGACGAACCTTCGCGAACTTGTCCTGTGGAGCTAAGTTATTATTATCGGCGACGTGAAAGAATCGTAATAGTTCTTCAAATCTGTTCCTAGGCATAGCAGCTGCCACACCTTGAAAATTACAATCAACACTCTGCTCCCAGTACATACGATATCTAGCAACACTGTTGTAACCAGACAGCAAGAGAATCCCTATAAATCGTTTTATTTCCTCAGTTGTAACTTTGAAATTGTGGTAACCTTTTTGAATAGCATTTTTTTCGGTTTCAGAGCGAATCAATTCAAAAACGTCTTCGTCAAAAAAAAGTTCAAAAAAGTGAACAGGAGTATCTAGGTGTTCTAAGAAATGTGGTGGCTCTGATGTTTTCTCTGTCTTCACTGGAATATCTACTTTCCTCCACTTTCGGGTAGCTGGACATTTTTTTTTCTTTGCCGGTGGTTGTACTGATAAGTCGCCGTGTGTATTATTATCTATAGAAACTTCATTTGATACTTTTCTATAATATCTAAATTAGACTGTGAAGATACAGTAGCCCTAAACTCAGCCTGTGCTAAGAGCTGCTGCCTGGACAGGTGATTTATGTTCGAAGACTCCTCATCTCCACTGTCTTCATCACTTTTGTCGTAATTATCTGGGGGTGTTATGTAAATATCTGCTGACAATACGTCATCGTTGTCTTCAAGATGCGATATTATGTCATTTACCGACAATCTAAAACAAAATAAACGCAAAATTCAAAAATAACAATTATGTCACTACATAAAATGTTCCATATCCATATTATCCTACTGATCCATTATTGGATCGGTACGTATAAAAGTAAAAAATAAATGTAAATAAGCTAAATGTGCATTTCACTGTCTTGCAATATGATAACTCAACTCCTAGCCGATATAAATACGATACAATAATTATAAATTATCTAAAAAAAAAACAAGAAATACTTACATTCGGCGATGAGACATTTTTTCACAATTTCCAAAAAATTCAGTGCGTAACAAAACACAAATTTCGCGGCCCACCGAGGATCTGACAAGTGAATATGGCGGCAAGAACTGTCAGTGCTGCCACCATAGACAAAAAAAATGGCTGCGTTCACGAAATTTTAGTAAAAAAAATATTAAACTAACCGATCCAATAATGGATCACTGGGATGATACGGGTTAAAATAGCCTTAGATTAATTGCTAAACCAATATTAATAGTCGAAAACCCATGAGCGATGTTGCCTCGACGACGGACCACCAGAAAGTGCCGATGTTTCTTTTTGCGCACTGCTTCTATTTTGTTTCTTTTCCAAGGAGTTCCTAACTCGGCTTCTATTTTGTTTCTTGACCAAGGAGTTTCCTAACTCGGCCTCTCCTGACTCCTGGTCGTCCTCGGCCACATTCTCTCTGTTTTTCAGTAGTAGCCTCGCCTACTGCGCCACCTTCCCGATCTTTGTCTTCAAGGTTTGGCATAGACGATCCGGCCGAAGCACCTTTAACATTGTCATCCTGAATTTTGAAATAACATCACCATTACTATCGGAAACATTATTGTTTGCATGAGTGTAGTGTCCAAATGTTTTTCAAATAAACAAAGTAATGTAAGCTAATCGGCATCCAAGACAGATAAAGTGAAAATAAAGAAAAAGGTGTGAAATCGACGGTATCCCAACAATTTCACATCCCCACAGTACATTACCATTGTCGGGTGACTCACGCCTTTGAAGGGCTACCAACACCATAGAAGTGCAGCTCATGCCAATGCGACTCACGCAATCGGCAACTTCCATCACTGGCGGCTCCCGTCAGTGGCGACTCCCGTCAGTGGCGACCAACGCTGATGGCGGCTGATGCAACTGAGGACAAACGTTAAGGGCGACTAACGCCCGTGCGACTAACGCAACTGACGACACACGTCAAAGGCGACTAACGCCAAGGCGACAAACGCCTATGCGACTAACGCAACTGACGACACACGTCAAAGGCGACTAACGCCAAGGCGACAAACGCCTATGCGACTAACGCAACTGACGACACACGTCAAAGGCGACTAACGGCAAGGCGACAAACGCCTATGCGACTAACGCAAACTGACGACACACGTCAAAGGCGACTAACGCCAAGGCGACAAACGCCAATGCGACTAACGCAAACTGACGACACACGTCAAAGGCGACTAACGCCAAGGCGACAAACGCCAGTGGTGATGAGTAGACTTGCGTCTTGAACTCCCACCCGGCAGCAGGTCAATGAGACGCCTGCGGTGTCTCGAACCTCCACCAGCTGCAGGCCAGCGGGATGTCCCCGTCTCGACAAGTGACGACTCGCGAAACTTGTCACCACTGCTTCTGAGAACAGTCGTTAAAAGAAAATGAGCAAAGTGACAAAACAGTTCAAAAATTTCACCATCGAATACTATAGCACCAGTATCTGGGCACCATTCTAAATTCCATGGCATCACACGTTGAGTGGTTGGTTGAGCTGATTTAAGAGCATTACATTACATTGGATTACAATTTTAAACTGGATGCCAACTAGATTGTGGTGGAAATATTTTAAGGCCCTGACCTTATTTCACTATTGTAATTAATCTCTATTTCATGTACCGCGATCATACACGAATGCGGGATTACGCGCCCCAATACGAAAAATATGTCGTACTCATAACGAATTTTCTCAGGTTGATATTCTACGTCATAACTCTGCCGCGTTTCACAGCAAATTGCGGGACGTATTATTGAAAAAGAATAAACCACCTAGCAGTCCTGTTTTTCATTTACATTGACTGGGAATTTAGTTTAGTTTGTTTTAAGTATTGGATATTCTTTGCACATTCGCCATCGCTCCCTTCACATACTAGATTAGGTTTACACATCGCCTTTCAAATTTATTTATTAGTGAGGTACGTACCCAAGCATCCTCTCATTTTTACTTAGTTATATTTCTTGGTGAGAAATGTTTGAGGACACAGGTATTTTGTCTTTAATATGCTGTATTGTTGTTTATATTTGTTTTGTTATACTCCTGTGATCTGTTTTTTTTTTCTCCAATAAACAAAATAAAATAAAAATAAAATTGCAGATGAGTTCATGTAATGATGTAATTGCAGAGCCTCCTCCTTTCTAGCGCTCGGGCTAACCTGACCACCACTTATATGTCTGTCTAAGTTCTCGAATTCGGTATTCAGAAACGAGTATTTTATTTTAATATTGATCGAAAAAAATAGAATTCTACCTTTACCTTTTTTTAGCATTAAAATTCAGAAGAAGTACTTTGTTGATATAAACGAGCAAGTCATCAGAATCAATGAATTCCCGAAGCATATCATTAATTGATAATAGGTTTGTAAACAATAGATGAGTTTGTCAAACCATATGGCATCTTTCAGTATTCGTAGTTCCCTCCTGACGCGGACGTAACGAAGCTTGTGTAGTGAATACAGTCGTCCCTGATTCTCATTTCATGAAGTCGCCATATCAGGGCCGGTGACGAAGTTATGTCATCCTAAAAAAATCAATTTAATGGTCAATAAATGAAAACGGATATCTTTCCTTCTCTGTATTGCGAATAAGTGCTCGAAAATCTTTTTCGTCACTGAAATTATTGAGCTGGCATATTGGAATCGAGATTCCCTAATGATGCCTTTATCTAAGAGATCCTTCATTATTTCGCTAACTTGTACCATCTTCCTGTAAAATAAATTGTATGGGCGACAAGTTATTGGAATTGAACTAGTAAGTTTGATATTCATCTCACCTATACTGTACTGTAGTGGCAGCGGTACACAAGAAAATCCGAGAAAGGCGACAATACAAACATTGGTAATTCCAGATTACTACCTGGCAGAGGGATTTTATATAAAGAGTTTTCGGTGGCTAGTCCTTGATTAACCTGACTGATCCCAGCGAGTGATATACTGTTGTTGTTACTCTTACATACATTACTCCAACACGATTCAAAACATTTGTCGCTATTCATGCAGGCTGACGGTACTACTACTAGATCTTAAAATGAAATATTGCTGAATTCAATAGTTACTGTGTTGTGAGGAGTGGCAAAGGTTTCGTATTCATTAACGTCTCGTAATGTACATCGTATACTTGGATTGGCAAGAAAGTAATTTAATAAGGTCAGAAGAAATCAGTGATATGATGTGATCACCAATATTGATAAATATGTTAATCGGTATGCACTATCAACTGCACGAACCACATCGATATTTCTCACCAACTTCGGTTAACATATGTTTACATTTTGGTAGTTAGTTAATCCTTACCTATTCTTGACAAAACATGCGTCTTCACAGTTTCCTGTAGTTTTAATAAATGCGCGTATTAAGACGACTTAGCAGCGGGATTATCATTTTATTCTGAAAGTTGTTAATGTTGGTTTGTTTATTATTACAATTCCAAGTTCTGCAGATAAATCCTTAACCAGTCGTAAACGTTATAATGTACTCTCACATTCCCAGCGTATGTCGTATATTAGTTGTATGTCGTGTTCATACATGCAAAGGAAATGTTAGCGGAGTCCAACTTCTGAGAACAGAGAGGTCTTAAATGAGTTTTAAAAATATCCATGTACGACCATTTGTGACCTATGAATTTAGTTATGTCTTGGCGTCGGCTTTTAAATAAGATGCTTCCCGGGAAAAACACTCATGATCTTCCACTGTCCACTATCATTGCGCGATCTACCTCTAGACACAATAAATCAATCAGAAGAATCAAAAATTGACACGTAATAATGAAGCGATTTTATGAGTGCGAGATTCTTAAGGGCTTCTGTCATAATGGTAAAATACGAAACTGACATAGTATCGGGATAGCGAACAGTGGTATCTTGATCGTGAGTCGTAGTCTGAGAGACATCGCTCAAGTTAACTAAACTATTTACGTTTGGTGATTCGTTGCCACTATTAACTATGTGATTGTGACCTATAGACACATTTCTTACGACCGATTCAGCAACATTTCCTGATAATTATGTTGTAACTCTACGACACTATTATTAAACTGATCGACAGCTTTGAGTCTTACTAAAATGTTATTCAAATTATCATTTAATGAATCACTTACAAGTAAGTATGATGCGGGTGTGTGTTTAGAAAATTTACTGCTGCTCGACTCGTTTCTCGATCTACGACAACGTACTCGTGCTATGGACACCCTAGGGTATCTATGTGGGCTAGATATCAATCTATTTTTCACATGGCGTAATCTTTTTCTAATTTAGATCGATTACGATTCATTTTATTAGATATAATTGTCAAAAAGAAAACAAAATACGGTGGACCAAAGAATTTATAAAAAAGAGATCTTTATCCCACTTCTGAATTAAGGAACTTCGTTCGGATTTTTTAAAAATAAAATAACAGTAAGACATTTGACAATTTGACTATGCGATATTAATTAAAATGAACAAATATAAAAGGTAAATAAAGGAATGAAATGATAACCTGCTAACTCCAATTCAACAACAATTAAAGTACTTACAGAGTAATATCCTTAAAATAGCCTTAGATTAATTGCTAAACCAATATTAATAGTCGAAAACCCATGAGCGATGTTGCCTCGACGACGGACCACCAGAAAGTGCCGATGTTTCTTTTTGCGCACTGCTTCTATTTTGTTTCTTTTCCAAGGAGTTCCTAACTCGGCTTCTATTTTGTTTCTTGACCAAGGAGTTTCCTAACTATATTATTATTGGAAATGACATTGCCCTATACAGTAAGACTTATTTAGCCCTTTTGAAATAAGCCAGTTAATGCGACGTTTGAATAGATTTACTTCACTTACTTGTGGAATTTTGAAGTTAAAAACCTTTAGTTTCGGTTCTTAATTTTTCAGTCTCATATTAAAATTGAATTGCTATGAATCTGATAAAAAATAATAAATTTCCAAAGGTAAATTAGTACCCAGTTAAAAATGGGTCCCATAAAGAATCTACGTATGATTCTTCTTATATTCATGTTTATCA